CTTTAAGGTTAATGATTCTATAATGTCTGACTTGTAACATTTAGTATTTATGTACTGTAGGGTTAAGGGAAGCAATGTAACATTTCTCTACTTTGGTTTCAATATTTATAACATTCCCCAGTTCCTTGTCAAGGTAATTGTGTTTCTCCATCAGGACCTGAGGCTTAGAGAAGAAACAGCTGAATACAGTTAAACTTGAATCCTATTTATCCTTTAGAATATTACATTGGATGGTGTAGAGGGGCCATTGTGAGCAAGAAGGGAGTTGGTACTGGAGCCCTTTTAGGATGCTTCCACATTATTCAAACCAGGGATGATGAGGATCCTAGACCAAGGCAGAGGATGTGAGGCTGAGGAGGAAATAACTGGTGGAGTCCAGAAATATTAAATCAGATCCACAGACCTTGGTGATTGATTAGTTGTTATGGGGACTGGGAGGTTTTGAGGGACAAGACTGAGTCCAAATTAACTCAGTGGAAATGCTCAGTTGGCAGCTAGATACATGGATTTAAAACCAGAAAGGCAGTGGGAGCTGGGTACTTAATTAGGATTAGTGTCAGCAGGTTAAAGGCAGGAGTCAAAGTTGCACGTGAGAAATTTCAAAAACAAAGTGGCAATGCAGAGAAGTCCTATCTTCGAGAACAACCTTATTTCTCTTATTTCTAATTGTTTGAGGTCACCTTACTAGAGTTCCCATGCACTAGGGGAGACCAATTGATTCTCCCCAAAAGTCTTCCAGGATGATATCCTGTTTGCTGCTAACTTGGAGAATTCTGAAACTTGCTATCAGCTTATTTTGAGTGCCTCTACCTCAAGGTTGAGTCACAGTGACTAGTTTAAGACGGTGATGTCTAAAACCAGGGGTTCTGGTTACTCCTTGGTAGTGGGACTAGAACTGTCATACAGTCCAGATTACTTGTGTTAACACAGCGTAACCATGATCAGAAGATTGCATGTTAAGCATGCAACGTTAATGAGGTTAGACGAATCAGTTCTCTAGTAACATTAAGCTTGGTAGATGGTGGCTCTGTTTCTCCAGAGGTGTCTCTTACCTCTCAGGTGAGAAATATTTAAGCCTTGGAGGCTGTACCAACTTAGAATCATCTGCCTGATAACGAACACCCACCACGGGTCATCTGCGGTTTTAATTTGCTGGAGTCCCTGCTACTCCTCCTTGTCACCTGACCACAGTGGACAAGTGTCAGTTCAACTACTGGAAACGTTAGTGTTGGAATACAAAAACACCTCACCTCCCCACCCCTTTACTTGTGTACTTTATCTGCCCCACCCGTGCAGTCGTTTGAGTTGACAACTACTGGAAAGGAGGACTTCCTGGGAATGACAGAAGTGGTTATGGGTTAGGTGGCTTCAAGTGAGAAGATAGAGGAAAAGACTTGAGGGAGCTTAAAGCTAACTACGATTAGTTTCCACAGCTGCCACTTAAGGCAGCCAGCTGCTTTGACTTGCAAATGATGCTGTAGGTTGGTTTCTTGGATGGGAAAACTTTGTAATTATAGCCTCCAGAAACTGTGGACAAGGAAGTGAGAGAACTTCCATGGGATTGTAGTGGAAGATAAATGATTGTCCCTGTACTCTTCTGAGTTCTTAGCCGAGACCCCTGTAATAAAAGACAGGTTAACTAGAGAAAAACAATTGGAAGTTTATTACCTCATGCATACATGGGAGAGACCCTGGGAAAAATGAGTAATTCCTGAGGTGACTTATAGAATTCAGGACTAAATACCATCTTACTAGAGAAAGGGGCTGGTGGGGAGGGGAGATGTCAGCCTCTTAGGAAGAGTAAATGATTTTTAGAAAAGATGAAGGGCCCTTAGAAGATTAAGTGGGAGATATGACAATTCATAATAAAGTGTGTCTGAGTGTGGTGTCCACTTCTAGTCTCCTCTCTCCTGTGATAAGAGTCAGTCTTCCCTGTGGATGAAACTCCTGGAGAGGGGACTGAAGAAACTGAGTTCTCTTTGGAGGATCTGTCTCTAGACAGATAAAGGGAAAGCCCCTCCCTGCATTTGTTGTGTTTGTTTTTTTCAGATGCCTTCAGATCAAATCAGTCAATGTGCCAAAGCAGTGTATTTTGGGGTGGCATGTCCTGCTCCCCTCCAGGGTAATGTCGGTTGGAGTCACTGTGGTCATTGGGGCACTGCTGCTCTGTATTCATCTTGTTTTCCTTACAAAGAGGTCCCAGCGATGGGCTGGACTTTGACTTACCAGGAGGAAGATGTAGGACCTGATAAAGCTGGTTGCTTAAATGGAGAGAACAAATTCTGTACACTCTCTTTCTGTATTCTTCCATTCCCATAGGTCCTCCTCAGGCTCTCGGCTTTTAAATTAGGTGTTGGGGTGGCTGCCGGAGAGCCGGTTAGGGTGTTGTTTAAAATACAGATCTCAAGATTCTGATTTGGTCCAGTGGAAGGCAAGGCCTGTGGGTCTGCAGTTTTGCAAAGCTCTCCTTGCCAAGTTGAGATGTGCAGTCAGGTTTGGGAGACATTCAGAGATGATTGCCATGAAGCTACAGCAGTATCCCTTTCACTCTCTGATTCTTGCTCTCCTAATCTGCCATCCATTCCCTATTCTGGGGTGGCGTTAAAAACATACACACGTGCTCCAGTCACACAGGTCTGTTAGTATCTTCGTCCTGAACAAAACCTGGAGACAATTTCCCCATAAAATGAGCCTGATAATCTCCTACTAGTGACTTTACTGAGGGTGAAACCTATAAACTCCTCATCCTGATAACACTTTGTACAGAGCCTTCCATGTATTAGACTGTTTATCCACATGCAGAGGGTTTCATACCCATGAAGGAGAAAAGCAAGGCTTTGGTAAATAAAGTTCAGTTTCTTTTACAAATGCCTTCTGGTATGGATGGCCACATTTGTTCAGTGTCTATAAGTTCAGAGTGTATTTTATTTTTTATATGAAAAAATGTGAATCTGAGTTGCAAAAGCAAAAGTCATGCCATCGTTGGGAAGCCCGATGAGTTTGGAAAGATGACTTTCTACATTGCTTACAGGACGTTTGAAGCCACTGTGCTGCCACTGGCTTTCTTTTCACGTGTTTCCCAAATGGTGAGAGGTGGGAGGCCTTGGAGCTAGGAAAGAACTAGTACGTTTCTCTCTTTTTAAAGAAATGTCCCTGTAAATTATAAAACTTTGCCTTGGAAAGTCACGGTGTAGATCATGGCAGGGGGAATTTCTGTTTGTCAAGGTATCAGTTAGAGGTCAGCACACTGAGAAGCAGGTCCCCCTACACTGTTGTCATTTTGTTCTCACCAGTATGAAGAACCTGGTGGCAATGATAAAATGTCATGATCTGAGCACATAGATCTGGCCACAGAGCTCTTATATGTATGTAGGTAGAGTTATAGATAGATAATAAAAAGCAACACTTTGTATTCTTTATTCTTGGTGCCACTAAGAACACCTGTTCTATTACAAAATTGAAACTAGGAGAAATTTCTTTAACCAGTGAAAAATTTTTTTTAAATGTCTCTTTTTCCTGCCCTAAGGTTGCAGGTGGACAGCTATGTTGGTTACATTTGTGAATCTTGCATTGGGAAGAATGTTTCCATGGTCTTCCATTATAAATCACCTGGACTTAAGGGAAACCTTTGATGTAGTCCGTGGTCAACTCCTGGAGAACAGGGACTATTTCTTAGTTATTTCTTGTATCTCTAATACTGAGCATTGAAGTGGCACAGAATAGGTGATTGTTTACCAGCTGGCTCAACCTTACAGCAAGTTGATCAGCTCTTTGAGCTGCTGTTACCGTATCTAGCTGCACTGTAGATCCCTATGCAGGATGTCTGAGTACTCTGTACAGCCTGCCTGACCAACCCACAGGTCCTCTCTGCATCTTTAGTCCTCATTTGTTAATTGCTTGAACAAATGTCGGTTACTGATTAAGACATAGTCTCTGACTAGGATGATGGAATGGAAGATGCTTACTCAAGTTATAGTTGAGTTTTTCGATGACAGCGTTAAGATTAAGCTTGACCTTGAATATAATAAACACAAAGAAGCAAAATTAAGACCTTGAGGGAGGTACAACTTTGGAAAACTAAATATAACATGGGGACTGTATATATGTAAATTTGGGGGTGGGGGAGAGGGGAGACTCATTGTGAGTCAGCAACATGCTGCTTTATTTTCTTAATTATTGGGCACACACTGCCAGTTAACCACAGGAGCATGACATGTGGGAACTGCTGGGTCACATTTCCAAAATACTTTGCATTAGTCAGACTACTTCTTCTTTTTTATTTTTAAGAATTCTGTGTCCACTTTGGCTGAAGGAAACTGTGGAGAATTTGGCAGGGGTCCAGACCAGAGCATGGCACCTAGAGGGAGAGGAGCACTGGAAAATAGCACCTGTTGAAAGACGCCAACAAATACGAAAAAGAATTAATTTCTTAGCCTGCTCCAAAGCAGCTGAAGGGTGATTAAGTTAATGGTCTTCTGTTGCATGTATACTTATCGTGTAGAAGATGATATAATTATTTCTGCTATGAATAGAATTAGGGAAATGGGTTTACGTTAGAGTTAAAGGAGATTTTGAAGTTACCTAAGGAACCTCTTGACCTGGAAGATGGTTAGACAGTGGGAAGACCTCTCGGCTGGAGATTTGAAATCGTGGTCCTTACAGGATGGGAATGGGGTGGGTACCACTTGTCAGTTACAGTCAGGTGCAGGTGGGTCAGAGACTGGCCTGTCTTCCAGATCCCATTTTGTGCTGCTCATCTTACATGGCGTTTGTCATTTTCAGCGAGGAAATCTGAATTCCATTTCTGTCAGTACTTTTTTCACCATTATTATCTATGTGAAGCTCTTGCTTTTAATGATTCTCTGTTACATTTCAAGCAAGTGAGAGGTTAAACCACCAATTGAAAATTTTCTTCACCTGCAAATCGACTTGGTGCTCATTCTTACATGGCCCCTGACAATATTGCCGGTTTCAACCTGCCTTTGCTTGTTCTTCTCTAGAAAACTCCCTGAGTGCTCTGCTCCCTTGGTCTACAATGAGCGCCAAATCTGCCATCAGCAAGGAAATTTTTGCTCCGCTGGATGAAAGGATGCTGGGAGCTGTCCAAGTCAAGAGGAGGACAAAGAAAAAGATTCCTTTCTTGGCAACTGGGGGTCAAGGCGAATATTTAACGTACATCTGCCTATCAGGTAATGAAAATCAGATGTGAATATTACTGAAACAGCTTCTGTTGTAAAGCAGTTAATGCTAAGATATCCAGGAGGGATGTATCCTCAGGTTTGGATGCGACCTCCACCCATCTCCCGTTCTCTGTTGCCTTCTCTGATCTGTATTTACTCGTGCCACCTCGGCTTTTGAGGTTGCCTTGTCTGAAGAGGTAATGAAATTCAATTGTAATGTGTTTTCTGTTTCATTAAGAGCTTCTGTAAAGCTTTGTCCATCCTTTTCCTTCATCAGGGCCCCGACACAAAACGGGCTCTCCTCTGAGATTTTTGTTTCAGAACTGCTCCTGGAGTTTGCATAATTGTTACTACTAGCAGCCTGAGTTCCATGGACTTTTCTTTCTCTTCACAGTTGCCAATAATCAGTAATAGTTTGTCTCAAGATAAATATTGACACGTTATGGAATGTGAGCAAGTAGACCCAGCTCGTAAATCACAGCTTTGCCTGACAGCTGTTCCTTGTCAGAAAGAGGCATCTGTTCTATTACGCTTAGAATTTTGTGGGATTATTTTTTTTTCTCTTTCTGTTTGTGTTTGTAGGAGATCTGTGGGCTTCCCTGTGGATTCATACCAAGTGTTTTGAGATAAAATTTGGATAAGTTTTCCGTAGAGTTGTGGGTGATGCTAATCTGAGCACCTGGGGTTTTGTAATGTTTCTGATATTTCTTGTAACTGGGCACTGGAAGAATTACGCTTACCCTAATGCATCTTTTTCCCAATTTTCTTCAATTGTGGCTTGGGAATACAACTTTATTTTTGGACCCACTTTTAGCTTTTTTAAAGAATTAAGCCTCTGATCATTTAAGCTTATTAGAATTTATTTCAGGGTAGAGATAACATTTTTCTAGAAAGAATATACAAAGATGACAATAAGACTGTGTCTTAGTTTAAAATGAGATGAGAACATAGCCCTTCAGTAAGAAGGCCTTTTAAGTGGTTGGAAGAAAGTTTTTATCTAAACGAGTGTGAGAGAGTTAACTTTGAAATATTGGTCTCTCTTTCTCAGGTTATAAAATTTGGTGATTTTTGGACATTTCCAATCCTTTAGTGTGCTGGGCAGTGCTTGTCACATAATAGGGGCGCAATAAATATCTAAGGAAATCACCTTTCCAAATACCTTCCTGATATTTTCTTAATGAGATTCAGGTCTTAAAAGTGTTTTCACATTTTAAAATGTCAATTCTGGAGTTTTTGCTTGCATCAGTCATGAGCAGAATGCATTCAAGTGAATTTTGTTTTATGTTTGGGCTGAGCTGAACATAGGACGAGCATGGACACATAGTGATTCTAGTTTTATTACGTTCTATTTTCTCAGTGTGTAATTGAGATTTCTTGAAGATGGGTAGTTGCAGAAAAGGTGGATGGTCTAGAAGCCCCTAGAGTTTTGCCTGAAACTGAAAAAGAGGGTGGTTTTGTTTGCCCTTGAGGCACGTGCTCTTGTCAGCCTACTTCTGATCATGAAGTCTGCAAGAGTGTTGCGGGGCCTCTCACTGCCTCCTGCCGTTGAAATAGCATGACCGCAGCCCTGCCAGGGGAGGTAGTGACCTGGCACTTGTTGGATAACTGCATTTTCTTCACAAGTTACCCAGACCTTCAGGTTTAAAGTCTGAAACTATGATAATTGCTTTTTTGGTTGCATTCTAATGGAGGAGAGTCTTTTGTTCTGAAAGTCTTCTTCCTTTTCATAGATTTGAATTTCGAGGGGTTAGGTTGATAGAGGAGGTCTGACATTTAAGCAGCTGGTTTAACGGAAACTAGGGCAGAGGAAAGCCAGGCAACTTTGACACCAAGTTTTTGGCAGTTTGATCTTTTATATAATTGAGAAAGAAGCAGCCACCTTTATTTTCTAACTTACACGAAGCATAGAGGGCTAACAGTCCCATCTCTGGTCAGGTGTTGTTTTAATTAACAAGTTATTAATTACTCAAATATTTTTAAGCACTTTTAGTGTGCTGAGCGCTCGCGGTGCTGGGGGGTCAGTTAGGAGACAAACTCACGAAGTTTACCTTGTTTGGTGGGAAAGGAGCAGTACATGTATATACATTACTCACTAAAGTAAACATAATTATGAACTGGGAAGAGGTTAAAGAGGAAAAATACAGTGATGTGAAAGCATGTGTTGGGAGGATTTGGGAGAACCCAGAGCCGCAAGAAAAGTGGGGTCTCACTGGGTCTGGAAAGAGCTGGTGTGAGTACAGGGGGCATTCCTGGCAGAGGGATGGACGGGCATCTTCATTAGAAGACTAAGCTGGTTTCTGAGTTCTTCCTTGTCTTCTGTTCAGTCCCACTTAGTCTTTGCAGTTGAACTCGCACAGGTGGCTGTGATGTGAAAGCAGAGCCCGGGAATGACAGCTCTCCCTGCTATCCGCGTCAACCACCTCTGCTTTCTGGGAGTCTGAGCCCTTCAACGCTTGTGTTTTGGTTGATGAAAACCAGCTATCCATTCTGAATAGACAGAATGTGTCCAAATCAGGGCAATGCCTGCAAATAATTTTTAATCACTTTCCAAACAGCATAAAGAGTTAAATTCTTTCTTTAAAAAAAGAGGAATATCAGCTTTAAAAGCTTGCCAACATATGCGTGTATAAGCATGGGTGTTTTAATATATCTGATGTCTTTTACTAATGTTTCTCTGTGCGAGTTTTTTTTCCACCAGTGTCTGGCAGAATCTTTAGTCTGAGAGGTAGGGGCCTGTGATCATAAGGCTTATTATATTCAGAGTGGGTTGTGTATCCTCTGGAGAAATCCAAAATTTGCTGGAGCAAAGGAAATAAGATCTTTCTTGAGTTATTTCACTATAATTGTGTAAGGAAAGAAATAATCTCTCCAGTTCATTCATGGAGCTTTGGTAGAATCTGAGTCTTTCTTATTGGGCTTCCTGACTGGCTTTTTGAATTGCACGCAATTACTGTCATATAGAGATGCCTCTGTGGTTGGCATTCTTGGTTTCCACTTTTCTGTTCAGCTATGGCCAAAATTAAAAAGACCGACAATACCAAGTGGTTGCAAGCATGTGGAGCAATTTGAGCTCTCATACTTTGCTGGTGGGAATGTAAAAATGATAGAATCGGTTTGGTAAACAATTTGACAGTTGTTTATAAAGTCAAACATACATTTATATGACTCAACAACTCTGTTCCTAGGCATTTACCCAAAAGAAACAAAAACATATGTCCACATAATGACATGTACTTAGAGGTTCCTAACAGTCTTATTTATAATCAAAAATCAGAACTCAGATGTCCAGCTATATGTGAGTGAGTAAGCAAATTATTTTTGTAACTGTGCAGTAGAATACTACCTGGCAATAAAAAGAAGTGAACTCCTAGTACATGCAGCAACGAGGATGAATCTCAGAAGCCTTATGCTGTGTAGGGGAAAAAAATCCAGCAAAGACTACATGCTGTATGATTCTGTGTATAGGAAATTTTAGAATGCACAGAACTTAGGCTATAGTGACAGAAAGCCCGTTGGTGATTTCCGGGGGGTGGAGTTTATGATTGACTGCAAAGGAGCATGAGAAGATTTCTTGCAATGGTCTAAATTCTCTGTGTTGATTGTGATGGTTAACTGGGGTGTATACATTTTCCACAGCTCATCAAACTACATGCTTAAAATGGGTGCATCCTATTATATGTACACATATCACGGTAAAATTGATTTTACAAAATGTCTTACAGAGTCACTTGTGGGATGATTGTAAGAGTTTATTAACCTTTTAATCTCCGTCTGCCTGGTAAGGTGGACAGAAGCTAGCTCTCTCCTTTATAGATATGAGACGTTATCCTAGATGGCCTTTTGAATCCTCAGACAGGAGCAGCTGTGTGTTATTAAACCTGTGCTTCCATCTATCTGGTCTGTGTGTCAGTGGGTTCTAAGTTGCTTTTAGCACCTGGTATGTTGCCAAGTATAGACCCAGTAGATGCTTAAATGGAAGATGCTTTTTAAATGTATGGCTTACTACATACCTGGTTATAGTATAGACTTTATTTATAGCTTAGAGCTGTTAACTCATTCAAAGTGTACAGCAAGCTCTGCCCACAGTCGTTTCTACAGTTGGTTGCCCTCTCTTGTCTGGGTCTATGAAACTAAACTAGAATCATGCTAAGAAATTAAAATCAGTTTATTATTCAAGGCCAGTTACCTGCTGAACATTCTGCAATTTCATGTTTAAAGTCTATTTTCCTGATGCTGTTTTAATTCTGTATGCAGAATGTGTAATGCTACCTTTCATGTCCGTAGACGGATAAAAATCTTTCCTTGGCTGCTACTCATTGTCCCCATAGAAGGAAACTTTAATTTCTGTGATCAAGGCATTCTCTTCCATATTTTGTTAAAACAGGAAATCTTAGTCTTTTCAAAATGATTTTAAATTTGTAGTGAGCCAAGTTTTCTTATTACAAAAAGTTCTGAATGATCTTTGATGGAATCGTTTATGTAAATGGATCCCCATGGAAGGTAATGATGTAGATTAGGAGCCTAGAACCTGGCAATACTGTTCTTTATCTCTGTGGTTGCCAGTCTGAGGTGTTCCTTAGAATAACCTCTAGAACTTCACAGGTGGCCTGGTCCCACCTGGGTCCTACTAGTGCAGCACGAGGAGTTGGGGGAAACACACCCGCATCTTGAAAGTATCATGCAGGAGACGCTTAGGCTGAGGTTGAGAAGCTTCACTGTCTCAAGGAGTTATGCTTTGGTTTGTCTTATTGGTATACTTGACATAATGATGTATTTTTGATACTCAAGTCTATTGAAAGAGGGACTTCTTAGTCGTTTTCTTCTTGACTGGCCATGGCCAAAGCTCTGAATTTCTCTGGTATTCAGAATGACAAGTTCTTCAATTCAGTTGACAGGTTCAAAGCTTTCTTTGGGCTCTGAGGTTCTAGGGTTTTATAGCAAATTTCAATCTCATTTCATACATATCATGTAGGGAGAAATTCAGCTTGTTAATAATCCAAATGGACACT